CTCGCCATTGACGTTAATACCGTATCACTTCCAGTCCAGTAGCTTGAAAACATCTTTCAATGCAGCGGTGAAGAATTTTGGGGATATTACCCCACGCTGTCTTACAATTTTCTGCAGTTGGATAGATTTCGTACTCTGGTTCTGTATTTGGATAGCCATCGTAGCCCTACTATACAAACACAGGGGATATATGTGGTCTATGGTACTAAAGCCTTTTCGGAAACCGGCTTGTTCGGGAGACTGGAAATCGTCGAGTTTGCGTGCGAGACTACTCGTCCAATTTGGTTATGAGAGTAAAAATATACCGTTCACCACACGATCATCTCGACCCGTGCACTTTAGGATCAAATTAATAATTTTGATCTGGAGGTGTCCCATGACCATGGATGCTGTAAAGTGCTCGAAACGTCGGGAATATAAAATAAGTTAATGTCCGCGATACAATCCATAAAAAACTAGTTTTATTTAAATGTGTAGTGTTCGCGTAAACATAAGAAATCATTTTATTATTTTTTTGTTATAGGTCTCATATAAACTTTGGACTGTTGCGGCGCTGTAGTCGCGCCACGTACGTTGGGCGCTCCCTGGACTGAACACCTTGCTCGGTGGGAGATTTTCCCTTTTCCTTCTACGGCCGGAAATGGTGAACCCGACTTGATGTGAACACGCAACAAATACACTTTGGGAACTACAACCACAAGCCTTCCTCATTATTCTCAAGAAGTCGTCTATGCAGTCTTCAGCTCCTGCAAGCCAGTCTAATTTTTTCTTCATCTCGACCCACCGCAAAATTCTAAAACAGACTTTTCTCACCGGGTTCACTTGTCCTTACGCTCACAGCATGTATACCTACTTATAACATACAGTTAACATATTATTTACTGTTAAAAGCTTCTGTCACATAAACATGGTAGGTGCGTATAAGTCCTACCACCACGCCACACGAAGAAAGATTATGATTTTCAGGTAATATGTATGTACATATTTTATATATGTCTGTATTTATATATCCTGTAATCTAAACACTTTCAGGCATTTTGTACAGTCCAAAGCATCGTCAAATTCATTATTATCATATTATTAATTAGTACCATAACATTGTAGTCGAATTCTTTGTTATTTTGATAATATTCTGCTTATTACCTCGTCGGAAAGACACAAAACCGCAGTATTCAATCACAGAAAGTTCGTTGTATTGTGTTTTTTTTTTTGAGGTGAATTTCAATAGCAATTCTTATCAAAGCACTACTGCAATCAAACATTTCGGTATGAGGAGTTTGCATAAATTTCTTTCTAACAATGCACCGTTATTCGGTGCAAATAGAACGTTTTCCATTTTGACCCGAGCCCAGAGTGATGGATGCTACCACTTGACACAAAAAGCAGTATACTTTGCTGATTTTTGCTTCTTTTTGTTCATCTCCAAGATCATAATATAAAAGAGAAATGATTATAGTTGCATATTTAAATTAGAGACACTTTTACTGTTATCCCATCTTGTTAGTACTTCATAACAGAAACTGAAATCGATATTGAAGAAAGCGTGATATTGATTAGTCCTGTCTTTAAATCCAAACCAAAGACAATAATGGCCTCCAGACCGAACTATTTAGTCATTAAAACTAGCCTCAACTAAGACCAGCCTTCGTAAGACAGGATTAAGGTGTCAGATTCAAATGTCTGTGCACAAACACAAGTAAAATCTCTCACCTCTCTCCGCCGCCCTGATAGAGATCAGGCAGAACCAACAGAAACAACTTTTACAAGAAAGAGAAGGCTAGGCGAGTAACTAGAAGGCTAGAAGAAAACAACATGCCCGTAGAATATGCATGCAGTATTACTCAGAAACTGCCTTAAATCTGGCTACCAATTGTGAAAGTAGGAGTTCTACAAGCAAGTAAATGGTAAGGCAATGGGCTCACATGTGTCTCCTTTTGTCGCCGGAATAATCATGCTAGACTTTGATGAGAAATCCCTGCTTACTTTTTCCGTATATCCGAGATTCTACAAGCGGCATGTAGACGACAATTTTACAATTCTACCTTTAGGTAAAGTAAAAAATTAAAATTTTATTCATTTTAGTTCATTGAAGTCGAATTTTCCTTTTTATTTTTTAAACTCTTTACAGACTATTTTAATACGTTTCAAAATAGCAAAAAAAAAAAGTTGCAAGACCCGGAACAATTACTCCTAGGCTTTACGAATATTTGTTTCGATTATTCGATATTATACGAATAGCATTCGTCTAAATTTATTTGTACAACATTAAATTTGAAAAAAAGTCACGCTGAGGGATTCTTTCTGGTTCCTTCTAGTACAGGAATCGCAAATTAGTATTAAAAACGACTTTTAATAAGTATAGGGTATTTGTAACCTGTATGGAATAAAAGTTTTCTATTTCCATTATCATGTCGGTAAGTTGCTTAATAAAACATTTTGTAAGTAACTTAGCAAATAAAATATTTTCTTTAATCCTTACCTCTGAGAGAGATTTAGCGGTTGAAATTAGGCCGAACAATTCCTCTACAGTGCGCAGATGCTTGTGCCTCGTGGTAGATGCGAATGAATATGCAAGGAGATGTATCATCATAGTGGCATGTCAGTGAGTCGAGCCAATCAAAAAGATCTCGGTCGTCGATGATTTTAACTGCTCTGCGCTGGTTGAGATCAAGCTGAGTGGAAGGAGCTGGCACTGGTGTGCCCCACCCCAGTGCCAGAACAGTATGAAATACTTTCCCGCTCTATAAAACACGCTACATATTTTAATAAAAAAAGAATCATCAAAATCGGTAATTTATTAATGACAATAACGCGTAGCATACATACAAAAACTGCAGCCGAATTTAGAACCTCTTCCATTTTGAATTCTGTTAAAAATAACATTTTACTTCAGATAAACTGGAATCAGTTCTTTATACGATTTACTACGATCTCCTCAGAGAAATTCTAGCATTCAAAATATTATAAGTGGATTTAACAGTTGCAACTTGCAACCGGCTTTACTGTTGCGTTACAGATACAGAGTAGGAGTGATATTTGCAATTGCTAGAAGCGTTTAATGCAAACAGTTGTTTCTAAAATAAACTTTGCCCTGAGAAAAAGCGCTTATACTAACATGTGAGTTAATACGCATTTATGCAACTACTTTTTAGATTTTAAATATTTTTATTACTAATAAGTAATATAGACCTATCAATATATCGGTTGTTTTTCCAAGCATAAAAATTCAATTTGCAATGTTTAACACCACAGTACACGCGGCCCTTTTCTTCACATAAGTGTTTCTTCACACGCGTGGCCTATCATAGTAGGCCATTTTAAAATGTCAAATAATTGTATATAACCAATTATATTATTAAAACAACGAATATGATGGAAAATTTATTTATCTTTCTTAGTTTCACAAACTTTTTTCTTGGGAAAATGATTAAAAATAGTAAACAATCAACAATTTAGTAAATATAAAAAAATTAACAAAAATGGAATTTCTGAGATCCATGTAATTTTTAGTAATTTTAGACTTAATCTAATTATTATTGTCTTTGTTTTCGTAGCAATCAGGACACACTACTGCTTGGTGTTCAGGACAAATCCTTTTGTTGTTAGTATTACACCACTTTTTTGTGGACTTATTTCGGGCCCTTGAGCAGAGTGCACATCGACCAACTCGATCTATCTTTGGAGTCAAATCGTGTTGAGACTCTTGGGATTGTCTAACTGTGTTGGCTAAAAGTGCTTATATCCTAAATTTAAGTTGTCGCGGAAGAGTTTCCATGAATTCGGAACAAAGCGGTTTTATCAAATTGAACGACAATTTTCGCCTGACAATTTGTCTTCCAGAACCGTTCATTTGGTTGATTATCAGAGCGTTGATTCCGACAATGTTCATCATTTAAAAAAATATGGTTAGTGGCCATCGACGACTGTTACGCAGAACACTATACTGCTTACACATCTTGTCTAAAATGTCTACACCACATTTAGTACGATTATAAAAAGTTACAATCTCTGGCTTGCGGTCTTCTTTGGTATCAGAATCTATAGCAGCATCATAATGCATTGTAGACAATAAATTGACTGCCTTATTTATTTTTGGTACATAGGACACAAGGGTAACATCTTTTTGAAACCCAAAAAGAGAACTTTTGCTAGTCCTAGACTTCGAAGCTTTGAACTCCTTGGGAATTTCGGGTCTATTAGCTTTCATAGTACCAACAATCGTGATTTTCTTCTGCAATAGCTCTTTAGCCAGAGGAAGATTTGTAAAATAATTGTCCATTGTAACATTACAGCCTAAATTATAAAGCGGATCAAGCACTCTATGGACAACGTCGTTTACCTTGTTGGACATTTGAAATGGACCTTCCGGTTGAACTTCAACATATATCTCAAAATTGAAGACATATGGAAATTTCATGTCAACCACCATGAAAATCTTAATTCCGAATTTGTCCGGTTTATTCGGTATATACATTATAAAGCCGCAACGCCCTCTAAAGCCAACAAGTTGTTCGTCTAGCGTCAAATAATCACTGGGAGTATAGTTTTTGCGACAATTGTTAGTGACTAACTCCACAACTTGTCGAATTGGTGCCATTTTGTCAAGTTCTCGACGCTGTTCTTGGTCGGTAATGTCGTAAAATCTTAGGGCACGTGTCAAAAACCGGAATCCATTTATTCCCTTGGTCGTATATACAATTTCCAAACCAGTACCCTCAAAGTTATCCCAAATATCTTTTATGTTGCGACGTCCATTTCGTGATACTCCCATGATGTATAATATGCCCAGAAATGCTCTCATTTCTACTATATCAGTGGGCTTAGCATCCCTGTTTCTTTTGAAATCGACTTCTATTTTATCTATGTAAATATTGGTGCACCTTACCAAGATTTCCAAGATATCGTGCGTGAAAAATAGTTAAAATCACGATACCGGATCCTTCGCATTCCTAGCAGCGTCTCTTTTTGGGCCTGGTGGTCTTATCCTAATGTTCTGCGGTCTAATACGCGGTGCTGGTGGAACATCTTTTTTGCCATATAGTTCCATTCGTTGATTTATAGACTGGACCTCGTCTTCTGGTTACTAGTTGCGAGAGTGGGTAGTCATCTGAATCTGATATTTCGTCAGATGCACTTAGTCTTGTGTCTTTACTTTCGCAGAGTTCAGACTCGTCATTTTCGCTCTCAATCACTTCTTCATCATCAGTTTCTAACTCATTCAACCACCTTTGTATTTGTGAATCCTCCATGGCGTATTCGGAAATAAATCTGAAAAAAATTCATAAATTAGGAAAAAGAGATACACTTTTTACGACTTCTAATGGCTAATTAAATAATAATATTAGCATTTAAATACATATAAACAGACAATTGATACTAGGATAGTAAGATAACCGCGCTGTAAGTCAATAATACATCAAAAGTTACCTGAATTTGGTGCACCAATACACGCGCGGACTACTATGGTCGTCCTTCACTTTAAGCGCCAAATTACCAATGCGTGTGTCCGCGCTAGGGCCCCGCGGGGTACTGAGGTTGTGGCAAAAACAACAGACAAGGCTTACCTGGAATCGCTAGTTTCTAGCGCGCTAAACTAAAAAGTTATTGCAAAAAGAATAACCGTGGTCTAACATAGTAAGCCGCGCGTGTACTCTAGTGTTGTTCAATTATGTATTGTATGTAGCGGCGCTGTCGTCGCGCCACAAGCGAAAAAAAACACACCGAAGCCTAAATCACGCTATCAACATTCCGAATCATAAACAGTATATATAGAACATCTCCGAACTATCACAGGGAGTGTTGGCCGCTCCCCGGGCAGAACACCTTGCCCGGCGGGAGATCTCCCCTTTTCCTACCACGGCCACAGTGGTGACCCCGACGTGATCTGAACACGCAACCAACAAAATTCGGAAACTTCAAGCTTCATCATCGTCATTGAATACCCCACCCATTCGCTCCCGAGCAGATATCGTCTGCAGTCTTCATATCCTGCAAGCCAGCTAGCTTCACAAGGTTCATCGCAGCACTGGAATAATAATGCTTCCTGTTTCTTCAAGCTACACTCTGCGCTACAGTGTTCAGCAAGGCTCTGAGCCTCACTGCTCTCCTCTGCTTCACGGCACTCTCGCAGATTACTTGCCTTCTTCTAGACTCACCGCAGACAAGGCAATCTCCTGGCACTTGTACATTCGTCGGCAACGAGGCTGCACTATCGACCTCCGGTCTGAGCAGGGGGTGATGTAGCGGCGCTGTCGTCGCGCCACAAGCGAAAAAAAACACACCGAAGCCTAAATCACGCTATCAACATTCCGAATCATAAACAGTATATATAGAACATCTCCGAACTATCACACGTAGTGTCGGCCGCTCCCCAGGCAGAACACCTTGCCTGGCGGGAGATCTCCCCTTTTCCTTCCACGGCCACATGTACAATTTGTAGCCGTGTAGTGGTGGTGTAAAAATATCCACTACTCAATATCATCAAGTGGGTGTCGTAAGAGGCGACAGGGGCAAAAAAATCGGGAGAGGCAGCAGCATCTACATAATAACGCCTTAAAATAAAAATAAACTGCGGTTGCCAACCCGCTTGCCAAGCGTGGCAGCTCATTTATGTGGGAGGCCTATGTTCAGTAGTGGACTTTAATAGGCTGCAACTGTAACGGTTATGCAAGATGTAAAAAACCCAGACCGTTGCCGGTCAATAATGCGAGACATCAGCTGAGATCGTCGATCCACCTGCCAAGCACGACGGTTAAGGCTAATCCTCCCTGTGATCTGTTCGGAGAGTGTTGATAAAAAAGGGCTCTTAAACTCATCACAAATTATATCACAATTACATATCACATACAGATCTTTTGCTACTTCAGTTCTGTAGTAAAATAAAGTCAAAACTTATATTAACATTTTACAATTGAACATCCAATTTTTTATAGAATAAGGGTGACAAGCAAGCACACAGTCCACCTGATGTAAATGGATGCTGTGGTCCCTCTCATCATCATCACCACTGAAGACTAAGATGGAATACCTCGTTTCCAGTAAAAAAAAGGTCTCCGGATCTCTAAACTCAGCGTTTGAAAGACAGAAATATTAAGCTGCTATTTTACCCTGGTATTCTGAGAGAGCGTGGTCCTTCCCCGGTTGAGCCGACCCATTTGTGCAACAACCATAATATAGCTGCAGCGTGGCTCTACCACATAAAATATCGTCGGCATAACTCAAATTATTGACATATATCATCATCGTGGCATCTAACATGCATGCTGCTGAGCTCTTTAATCAGATAGTTTACATATATGTTAAAGGTCGTAGTGAAGTCAGCCCACTGTGCATTAATTTTCTCCAAATCTTATTATATGACACGAGATTAAAAGCTTTGTACACTATACAGAGTTTTCCTTTTCACATAATATTCAACAGTGCGTTTCAGAGATAGTATTGCACTTTCAGTTGACAATCTCTCACTGAAACAGATCTGTTATCTGTAATTTTACAAAACGTGATCATTTTAAATCTTATAAGCCATCAAACACTTTTGTGATTATAGTAGCTAAAGAAATCAGCCTATAGTTACTTTTATCAGTGATATCAGCAGTGACCTTTTCATTATTGGCATTACCACTGTTAGCAAGAGATTAGATGGTAAATATGAATGTCGTATGTAAAAAGTGTAAAACATGGCTAACGCTGCAAGTGCTCGACATGGTGTCCCTCATGACCTGCAGACTTCCTTATTTTCATATTTTTAATATTGTCAGCCACATCTTTACATTAAAGCCAATAGGTTTTCGTACTTGGGAATGCTCAGCATCAAACAGCAACAGCAAGGAAAGTCTCACCTGAAAGTGGTTCCTAAATGAATAAGCAATCATTTTAAAATCACTGACCCCATTAACGTACACAAGCAGGCTAGCCCTTCCGGAACTGATTTTTTCTTAGCAGAATGTTGTGAGGCAAGTATATCAATTTTATTTGTTCCTGGTTGTTCTGACAGTTAAGCGAAAATTTAAGACTCGTCCATTTTCACTCATTTTTTTAAACAAAAATTAACTTATTGGTTTACTACCTAAAAGAAATAATTTATAATCTAGTCTAGCCCGTCTGTGGGCCTCTCTGACATGTTTGTTCCAACCGTGACACACTTAACATTAGCCGGCGTCATAACTAAGAGACTGTGACTGTTTGATGAAGCCCAATTTAATATACTAAAAATATTGTTATATAAGTTGTCAATTACAGATCTAACTTAATAACTTATAACTTAACTTAATAAGAAATAATAACAGTAATAACTATATTAATAACTTTATTAAGAGATAGTCCTGAGTTCCCGAGTCTTACTAAATAGGTATATTTTCACCTAAGTCAGTCTCCAATGTATCTTTGCTTCCATTGGAAATAAACAAAGGAATCTTTGTATCCGCCGCTTTGAAATTTGTTGCCTTCGCCATTTTTTCAATAAATCGATTCTTATATCGTCCACGTTGCATCACAGTCCACTCCTCTGTTAATTTGTTGTTTTTTTTTTATTCACCAGGCAACTTAACTATTTACGCCGTTGTAGGTTCCGATGTATATGCCGCATGTTTACATGCAGTAGTGTCTGAAATCTGAATATGGCGACAAAACTTTGTTCTCGCTCTCGAGTGACGACACATTTTGCGTTTACGGCGCTGCTGCCAGCTAAGTCACAGTTGATTTTGATGCGAGGCAGACAGTCATAATTACACATGAGCGATATTGAGACGACGGCGACGGCAGTAGCGCGTTCCGTTCCGATGATTTTTATCATGGTATCGGTATTTGATACATTATGTGATACACCTAACAGCTCTTTACTATCAGAAAAAATAAACCACATTTTTCCATGTTAATATTTGGGTAATTAACCAAGGAAGTTAGTTACGAATTGTCCAGGTCAATACGTACTGTTCCTACCATGTCTACGGTTGCATAGTTTTCCTAGATTGTTTTTATCTCATTACGAAATAGCATAATGTTCTTCAGTAACATCGTAACATCAATGTGATCAAACGATATCGAAGGCAAATTTTGCAGGTCCCGAGCGACGAGGGTGTGAATCACATCCGATTTGATTTCCTTAAAGAGACAGATACTGGCCTCTAAATCTCTTTGTTTTTTTTTTGCCATCTCGCCTTCATGATTTATTCCTCTGTGAAGTCATTACAGATTCAAAAAGTAAAGTTTTCGTCTCTTCGATATCTGGTTCCAAAAAGGCAGACCCGAATTACAGACTCGTTATCCATCACATCATGCTTATTTTCAAAAAATGCTAGTATTTTACTTATAGTTATATTGAAATTGAGCCGTGGTAGCTCAGATGGTTAGCGCTCGCTGTAAATTTCACAATACGCGAGCAAACCGAGTTCGATCCCCGCAAGCACCAATGAAATTGTTAATTGCAATTTTAAGTGCTGATTTACCACGCGCTCGGCGGTGAAGGAAAACATCGTGAGGAAACCTGCATGTCTGAGAAATAAGAAAAAAAAATATTTCGAAGATATGTGAAGTTCGCCAACACGCATTGGGGCAGCGTGGCGGACTATTCCTTGCCTTAAAACCCTCTCAGAAATGAGAGAAGGCCTGTGCCCAGCAGTGGGATGTATATAGGCTGTAACTTTACTTTACTTTTATATTGAAATTACAACACTTCAACTTATTATCTGGCATTGCTTACAAAAGACGCGCGCGCACGTCACCGCTGTGCGAGCGAGACTCTTTATTTCCTTATTATTTTAAGGCAAGGGAATGTGCGTCGCGCTTACACAATACGTTACATGTCTGCGAAAATTTTTTTTTGTTTCTCAGACATTCCTCTTTAAGTTTTCCTTCTACGCCGAGCACGTGATAAATTGGTACTTCAAACAGCAATTAAAAATATCATTGGTACCGGCAGAGATCAAACACGGGTCGCTCCGGTACTGTGAAATACCTATGTGGCGAGCGTTCAGCCGCTGAGGCACCACAGCTCTTAATGGCTATAATAAATATAAAGTAAGTGCGATTAATCCTAACAAGGATTAATCGGCGCAGCCGATCCCTATCCGATGAGAAATTCAAATGGTGGAACAAAAACTCTTCCAGATATCCAGAAATGTCCCGTTTAGCCAAAGTTTTCCTTTGCTGCCCCGCCAGCTCTGTGTATAGTGAGAGATTTTTTTCTGAGGCAGGGAATATCTAGTATCTACAAAACAAAAAGAAATCGACTTCAACTAGAAAAGGCTGAGAT